CTTGCACCTCAGAGAAACTGCGGCTACAGCAGATTCTGCTCTGGCTATGGCGAGACAGAGTACCCTGAGCACAAATCCCCAGCCCTGAGGCTGGAACTGTTTTCTGTCCTTGGAACTGGGTATCCAAAAGATACACTGCCCAGGGGCCACAGAATGGCTCTGTAAATCTGCACTGTACATTAGCATATGATTTTTTTTTTTCAAAGTGGTGTTTCAGTTTCAGAAGGCCATTAGGCAAGATACCCCAATGGGTCTCATTCCCTCAGTGAGCCCACCTCCTCTCCCCCAATTGCTACTTGTCTTCCTCCACATTCTCAGCATGGCTGTCACTTGCTTGGCAAGCAAAGAGACAAGGAGCAAGGAGGCAGGGGCGTCTCCTGCTCCTCCAACTCATCATCACCTGGAAGAAATCAAAAGGCAGAAGAGCAGTACTGACTAGGATGAGAAGCGCCAGACAGCGTTTATCCATGTGCCCCTGCTGAGCTGTCCAGACCACAACGATGCCTGTCCTTGACTCTGGACCTGTCTGTGTCCTCTTTTGTCTTCTTTATTGGCAATTCATTTTTTTCTTTTTCTCCCCCACTCTTCTTTGATAGTAGTAGTAGCCACCCTGTTATCATACATCATTTGAGTCTCCCCTCTGCTCACTTCACAAAAAAATGCTGTTTTCCCTTTAGCAGAAACCTGGCTCACTAAAAATCCCACTTTTGGTTCTAGTTAAAATTGCTTTGTAATTTATTTGAATTTCACAGCAACCACAACTCCCATCTCTAGTGAACAGCTGCCATCTGCTGGGCACATGCCTTGCTACAGTGACCCTTGTTCTCCGGCAATAGCTCATCACAGTCTACCTCTAGAGCTGGCTGGCTATTAATAGTAATTATAATGATTGACAAACATACAATTCTACACACACCTACCAGCACTTATGTACAAGCAAGGACTTTAGGCAACTATTATGCTAACCAGCAAGGACAAGAGGAGCATTCGGGTTGCTCTGACTTGATAATCAGTTCAGAGTTTTGCCTAAATGCAAAAATGTGGAACCTGGTTCTTTTGATAAATTCCCAGCATCTCAGTTCAAGCAGTGGATGCCTTGTTCTACAGCTGTAGAATTTTTACTGCAATTCATAATGTCAGATTTGGAAATCATGCCATACTTTATTCCTTGAAAAACTAACAAACAAATTACTGGAAAAGAGTAAATTGCTTCATCTGAAAACTGAAGGGTAGGCCTATTAGTCATTCCGTGCAAGCATCCTTCTGCCAGAAGCAGGCAGACCTGACATGAGAACATTAAGTCCCACAATCAAAGAATTAAGGCCAAGCTTCGTACTTTCTCATTGACTTCTATGGAACTCAGGAATACTTTACAAGCCCTTAATGTATAATAAAAGAGGGTGTATTTCTGCCTATCCATTGTCACCAAAGGTCCATACAACCTACTCATCTGAAACTTAGTATTCATACTTATTCAGCCTAAGGGGATCCAAAGAGTGTGTACCTTGGATTTTTTAATTATTTTTTTACAAGGCCCTCCACATTTGGGGGGGTTAGAGGCACAAGACCCCTGTGGAAGTGGGAAAACTGCAAATATCTCTAGCTCTTCCCCCAAACCTGAACTCTCAATACTGTTGACTACACGAGTACTGGATTGCTTCTCTCTCTCAATCTCTCTCAGACCTTGGTCAGATCCAGCAGGGCTCCTCTTCTTCATTTATTACATTCTTGGGTTCTTATCCCCCCACCTCCCTTTCAGTCACCAGTACGTCCTCTTTGCACCAAGGAAATGCCAAAAAGATTTCCCTCTCCAGATGGACAGGGCTAGAAGGCATGCTTTGAAGGCCTCCCTCTCTCCCTTTCTGCTTCCTTTCTCTCTGTGGTGAGGATGATTTTCTGCAGTTGGCTACAAAGCTCTTCCCAAAAAAAGCCATTTAATTATTGATGGCAAACTCACAAATAAGCAAATCCACAAAGTCTGACCCATGGAAGCTGAAGTTCAACCGTATATTAAACATATCTAAGTGTGTGAGGCTTGTTGCACCATCTTCAGTCACTGGTTTCCTAACCAGCACACAGCTTTGTGGTTGCTGCAATATGAACTGGGGCGGTGTAGTGCAAGGGGAAAACTTGGATGCCCAACCCCTCGCCCTGCTGTGGACTTGCTCTCCCCCAGGGGAATGGAGGGGATAGATCATTTCCTTGAGGGCTATAGTGGTGCACTATGACAGCGACACTTCCTGTAGGCATGGCTTCCTTCACACACGCCAGGCATGGTGTGACCAATTCTAACACCATCGTCTTGAAGGCTTTACTGTCTCAAGCTAAGAGTGATTCCAACCCATGCAATGCTGGGGCTGTTTGGTAGTCACCCATGTTGCAGATTTATTCCCTAAAAGATGTCCTGCTAAGCAGCTTCACAGCAGGGGAATTTTTCTCTATGAGGTAGAATGGCAAATGGTGTTCCGCCAAGTCAAGATACATAGTACATGAAGCTGGCCAAGCTATTTTCGTACAGTGACAGAAAATCCCAAAAGCCCCTCTCTCTTGGAGTGAAAGCACAATAATAGTACATTAAAGGCACAATCCTCTGAATGTTTAGACAGAAAAAGTCCTACAGCCATGGTTAACTAAAGAATTCTGGGAAATGCAAGACATTTTTCTTTGATGCAAGCATGGCTATTATTCCCCTTGTCTCAATGCGTAGGACTGTGCCTGAAATAGCTACCAATTTGTTGCTGTTTCTTGACACCCCAAATCAGCTGCCTGAGGCTGCTGCCTCAGTGTACTTAATAACAGGGCCAGCCACTGGATTAGATCTACATCTGCTGTTAGCTATCATCTACCATAATGTAACCAGGGATTTTTTCCACTTGGAACCACCATGCCACATCCTCAAACTACTTTTGAAATCCTGTGGGTTTTGAAAGCGTTTCACCTTGCAGCACTGGGGGTGAGAGGGCGTTTATGCTTATTTTTCAAAGACAAGTCTAAAAGTTCTTTATAGGCCTTTTTGTAGCTGAAGGTGTACCTCCACGACACCAACATCGCCTTTACTAGGATGATTCCTGTCCTTCCCCTTAAATCTGCATTCTCTTTGATGTGTCAGCTGGATATCCAGGTACAAGTTACACCTTTAGGCAGGCTACATCTGTTTAGTCAGCCCCTCTTCCTTTTATCCAGTTTTTGTAGGTGCAGGAGCCCTGTCTTCTTTTGCATCTGTCCATCCAAGTTGACCACCATGTATACACAATTTTTCTTCTCTATCTTCTTGCTGATGTTCCATCAATTTTCCATTTTTCCTTCTAGTTGCCCCTATTCTTGCAGATGATTCTGTTGGGATTTCTCCAGCTTTTATCGAACCTTTCTGTTCAGTTCTCAGAGACAGCTCTGCTTGTTTTTTGTGACAAACCTGGTTATCTGATCTCCTTGTTAATTAACTTTCTTGTTGAGCAGTAGAAAGGATTTCCAATACTGTTACACCCAAACACCAATGTAAAGTTTAATTTTACTGCACAAGTGGAGCATGATGACTTTGCTGGAACTTTCAAACATCTTCCAATCAAGTGGCTATTATGCTTTGGAGAAAAATGCTGTCAATGGATTACTTGATGGTTGCTGAGCATAGAAAGGTCTAGCACTTGCAAGCAGATGTTACTGTCCCAGTTGGTCACCATATGAATAGGACTAGCCATTGTATACTGGAACTTGTAGGACTTTTCCTGTACAAACATGCATAGGTTTGTGTCCTTATTCTGCCAGACTTATTTGCTTGTGAGAGCACATGCCTATTCCATGCATGTTTCTACAGAAAATTCTACAATCCCCAGTGTTTCCTAGCCATCATGACTAGCTGGGAAATGTTGGGAGATGGACTTCTTTTTCTTTCTTTCAACATGAATACAACTGTGTCTTCAGACACAAGATCCTCCATTGTTCATATGCCTTGTTTCAGGAGGGGAAAGCTGAGGGTGGGGGAAGGATGGTGTCCCCACACCCACATGCACACGAAGAACAAAGCAGGATTTGGGCGCCCGCAGAAGAGTGCGTTTAGAGCGGTCACTTACATCCCCACCTCTGGGCTGGAATTTTGACTGCAGAACTTGAGGAAGAAGGGGGTTGGTGGGGAGTACCCCTTAGTTCTCCCCGAGCCAGCTCAAAGGGCTAGAACATTTAGGGTGCTGTCCTATACACGTTTAGACAAGCAAAAACAAAAAAAGTCAGAGCACGCTGGAAATTGCAGAACTGTTTCTGTATGAACATGCACAGGACTGAGCCCTTATTCTGGCCGATATGCAACCAAGGATAAGCTAGAGTAACTGTATTCGTCCTCGAAGATGCAGTCCACGTTGAGACAGGAAAAAGAAATAAAACTCCTACAGTTGCCCAGGCAGCATTGCTTGCTGAGGCATTCTGGGAGCTGTAGGACTTCTCTTCCTGTAGGTCTTAACAAAACAATTGAGCTCTTATTCGAACAGACGCTTTCACGGACAGTAGCCAGCCAAACATGGGGCGCGGTGATTTTACTGCACAAAGCAAGCATGGTGTTTCCGCTGGTGCTTACACAATCTTCTAAGCTTCTATTATGCTTTGGAGAAAAAAGCTGTCATACGACCGGCTAGAAAGCGTTCGAAGCTCTTGCCGCCAGTTGGCACTTCCAAAAAAGATGTTCCTGCCCCAGTAGGCCATCAGATGATTGGGACTTGCCGGGATATGCTGGAAGTTGTATAACTTTTTCTTTTGTATAACTGGAGGCTGCCTCCAGCTCGACCTATTGTATTTCTTTCTCCCTGCCGGTGGCCGTGCGGTTCTCTCGGCTTTGTTCCCACTTGCCTCTTCCTACTGGGGCAGAAGCCCGGCGCGTCGCAGCCAATCCGCTCTGCCTAGCAACGCTGTATCGAGTTTACCGTAGCAACTGCTTGCGTGAGCCGTTGCTGCAGAGAAAGTGCGGAGCGGCTACGCACAGGAGAGCCCACAGGCTCACGCCCCGCTCTGGCCCCATGGCAGATCCCCCTGGAGAGGACTCTGCGCCCGAAAGTGGGAATGTTCCCAGGCAGCCCAGCCAGGTAACTTTCAACGTCGAGGATGCAGGAGCAGAGCCGCCCGCAGGCCAATATGAACCCGGAGGAGGAGGAGGAGGAGGAGGACTGGTCCGTGAGCAGCCCGGCTACCCTGCGGAGACCAGGCCATCCCATGGCAACATGTACCAAGCGGACCAACCCAGGCTGAATGCCTACAACCAGCCAGAGGGAAGAGGGGCCATGTATCAGCCCCAGCAAGCCCGAGGTGTCCTTTTCCAAGAGAGGGGTGGCCCGCAGGACTTGAGGATTCCTGGCATGCCGAGGCACCCGGCCACGGGGAGGGGAAGTTTTGAGGACATTGCAGGTGGAGCTGCTCAGCCACAGGATCAGCCATCCCTCCTAGGCCCAAGAGGCAGCTTCCATGCCCTAGGGAACAGAAATAACCAAGCTCTGCAGTATGAATCAGGAGGACATGGACCGTATCAAACACACGAACCTGGATATGGCCTTTATCAGATGGGCGGCAACCTCTACGAAGATCAGATCCCTGACCCAGGACCCAGGGCACTGGCGATTAAGAATGCAAAGGCCTACCTGTTAAAAACCAGCCTCAAAACTGGTGTGAGCTTGTGAGTAGTCACTGGTATTAAACTAATGAGAAGAAAGATGTGAACAGAAAAGGGACTCATGTGGTTTCTGTTAAAATTGTTATTACTGCTGTTTTTCTATACCACCTTTAGCCAAAGCTCTCTGGACAGGACACTACATTTTAAGTCACTCATCCAAAATTCAACCAGGCCTGATCATGCTTAGCTTCCAAGACTAGGCAGGACCAGACACTTCAGGCTGTATGGAAGCTTGAAATTGAAATGTTGTATAGAATGGAATATCTATCTATAGTCTTTATAGGATGCCCCTAAGTGAAGTTTTTTAGTGTGTAATCACCTTCTTTCATTATAGAACAATTTGCTCCATTGTAACCCCTCTGTGTTTTTCCACCTCTGTTTCCATCTTTTTACACCACCAAAAAAAAAAAAAAAAAAAAAAGGTTAAAGATGGAAAAGACAGAAGACCAGCCCTGTGGCTTTTGACTGACAGGATCAGGAAGTGTGCATCTGAAAGTACCCTCTGTCAACACATGCCTCAACTACATGGTAGCATTCATGGAATGGCCTTGTAAGGAGCAGAAAGTGATACAGTTGCTTGATGTCATACAGTGGATTTGGGGAAGGGAACTATCTGTTTATTTCTTTATTAAATTTCTATCCCACTTTTCTTACCATGTGACCTACATTATACGTCTCATCCCCCTCTCAATCTTATCCCCATAACAGGAACCCTGTGAGGTAGGCTGGGCTGAGAGTTTGTGACTGGCTCAAAGTCACCAATTGGCCCCATGGCTGAGCAGGGACTAGAACCCAAATTGCCTGAATCCAAGTCTCACACTCTTAACCACTGCATTACAGTTGTTCTCTTGTAGGTGGGATAGATTGCTGCTAAACAGCAAAATGTATGGACTACAATCCTGTGCACATGAATGAATTTGGGTGTTCATCTTTTTAAAAAAATGTAGACAGTGTTTTTCAGGAAAGGGGGAAGGCCACAAAGAACAAGAAACCAATAAAATATAAAGCCTCCCGAAAAGTTAAAAAAAAGAAAGTCAGGAAAGGTTGGCTTGTCCATACTTACAACATCATTTTTAATGGTAACAATAGCTTTAGAGCAAGGGAGCAGAGGAAACCCAGCAATTATTCAAAAGGTTACAAGTTGGCAAATATGGAAGGGGCAAAGCTTGTGCCATTTCTCAGTGCTGAATGTCATGAGCATTGTCCAATATATGTCAGAGACCCTTTTTAAGCAATCAAAGAATACTGAATTTTGAGCACTCATTGCCCTACAACAGCAGTGCTTCATCAAGGAACACTGCCAAGATTCCCCATAACAGATAAGAATTCACTGTGTTTACATGATTCAAAAATACGATTGAGAGAAGCTAGTTCCATTGAGAATATATTGCAGCAAACCAGTAATATATATCCTTCTCTGATTCCATAGGTATGACCATCTTGCTGAAATGTTGTCTAAGATTCTGGATGAGCGACCTGAAAACCCTGCTGACATTTTTGAAAACATTAGTAAGGATGTGAAGTGTGCTCGGTTTCAGAAGAAACTGGACACCCTCCGAGACGAATATGAGAAACATCCAACATTTGAGCTGGCTGAAATGTACAAGACCCTGTTCCAGAAGGGTGGTGGTGAAGGAACAGATCAAGAACTAGAAGAGGAAATTGTGAGTATGTGGATAGGGCCCACTCTTCCTACAAAAGACCCTCCGAGGATTGTGGAAATACATTCTGATTCTGATGAGGAAGGATTAGAATCTGTAGCTGAAACGTCAGGGCCAGCAGACCCAGAAATAAACAAGACAGGTGTTGAGAATCAGACAGTTTCAAATATTTTGGGAAAGTTTAGTAAAACTGCTAAAGTGGAGTGTGGTAGACCAGTCTGTGGGTACTGCATGAGGTTAAAAGGGCAAACCTGTTGAAAAGCATCACTGATGTTCTAAGTGATTGGCCCTTAGGTGGAAGCACTTACCTTATAGGTGGCTTGTTCTTTTCAGTTTAGAAGGGAGACAAGATACTCAGTTTGGAAACCATTTCTTATCATTAAGCCACATTTCTGCAATTCCAGCCTGGCATGCTTCTCTTGTTACTGACTTCTGCAATACTCCTCTTTTGTACAACAGCGCCAGCTTAGCTAGTTAGCATTAATATAATAAAGGTGTTGTCCTGAAAGGGAGAGGGGAAGACACTGAGTCTCTGCTATACTTGTAAATAGGAAAACATACTGCTATGGCACAAATACACCCAATCCTACTCTCCTTGCCCCATTTCATAATGCTAACTATAAGCGAGAGTGACCTCCAGAACATGGAGAACATGTGACCTCCAGATGTTGCTGACTTACAATCCCCATCAGCTCTAGCCAGCATGGGTGATGATTGGGGGTTATGAGCATTGTAGTCTAGCAACTTCTGGAGGGCTGCAGGTTTCCTATCCCTGCTATAAGGAAATTGAAGATACCAGTTCCTTCTTTCTGCACTACTTCCAGTTTCCTTTTTCTTAACATGCTGTACTTTCCAGAAGCTTACAAGTCTTGTCATGTCATCCTAAGGACTGTAAACTTTTAATTTATACCCATACATACCTCTGTATTTCTGCAGCCCTGAGAATGTAAACACCATGGACTTTTGTTGTGGCCTGTTTTTGCCAGTGTGGCCATTGGAATGAGGGGGGTTGTTCCTGAATGAATCTGAGCAGGCTAAGGAAGGCTTAGAGCAGTCTGGAGAAGGCTGCTACAAGGAAACTGCTTTCAATAAGTACACCACTTCGCTGCTGAAGGAAATATTATGTGAAAATATAAATAGGTAATATGTTAAATGAGCTCTACTGGAAGAAAAGCATGGAGATTATTAAGGTTCAACGAGTAGTATAGTGATATTTTCCAGTGTCCAATATCCCTCCATAATTTTTTACAGCCAGCTTGTTAAAAAGAACACAACAGATAATTAATTGCCTTGGAGCTGCCTTCTCCAATCTTTTAGCAGATTAAGCATGACTTTGCTGTAATTAAGCTGTTTGTCTTACTGAAGCAGCTATGCCCACTCCCATGTCTTCCGGAAAGTGGGTGGTGGTCAGAATCTGTGTATATACTGAGAATAATACTTCAGTGGTGGGAGAGAGGAACTATATAAAACCCATGGCAAGGGGCGGAGGGAGGTTGTCCTGGCCTGGGGAGGGGAATTAACATGTCACCCACCCCAACAACTTTGGAGGCCTGTGGAGCATCCCCTGGCCTAGTCAGCTACAGAACCAGTACAGCTGCAGAAAAGGGGAGAGTAAGCTTTCTTTAACTTGTTTATATTCTGAATCCTTTTAATTGTACTCAATAAACTATATATCATCTTAATCACAGGTGGTTTCATTCCTTCCTAAGTATCCTCAAACTTTACTACAGGACTCTAATTCAATTTAGCATATTCATAGGTGTGCAAAACATCTGAATCTAATATATTTTCTTTCTCTAAAAGTAGCATTATGTGGGTATACACAATCAAAGGCATTTTAGGGAAATATAATAGTTTGTGCCCAAATTATCTTAATTTTACACTCTCATGGCCTAAACTTCCATATTTAGGACTTTTCTACACAAGGCATCTATGGTAATTTGGAGGCTCCTTAAATGATGTTATGATTCTCCAATTTTGCTTCTATTTCTTCAGAACATATTCCTGGATTTCTTTATTCTTCATTTTTAGATGGGGGGGTAAGCTATTAAATTATTACAGGTAAAATAATGCACTATCTGCTGGTGGTTTGCACTATTCTGCAGTAACACAGATTTATCCAGAAGTTGTGTAGCAGAAGAGCAAAACTGGAAGAGTTCTTTGTGTAGTACTCAAATCTTAATACTGTGATGAAACCAAAAGTAGATGAAGTGATGAAGAGCACAGTAACTGCCTCATGTAGAAAAACCCTTGACTTACTGAACTTTGTTTAGAAGTAAAGTTACAATCCTGTGCACACTTACATAGGAATAAATTCTGTTAAACTCAATGCATCAGATTGCACTGTGAATGAAACTAAATTAATATTTATCAAGAAAGATTCCCTTTTCTTTGCACTTGTCTAATTTGTGCGTTTTTCCCCAGCCAGACTCTCCTCTGCCCAATGTAATGGAGACGGCCTTCTATTTTGAACAGGCTGGAATTGGCCTGAGCATAGAAGAGTACTACCACATCTTCCTTGCCCTCAAACAGCTAGTCACCACACATCCAATTCAAACCTGCCGTTTCTGGGGCAAAATCCTCGGAATTGAGGCCAACTATATTGTAGCTGAAATTGAGTTCCGTGAGGGAGAGGAGGAAGAAGAGGCAGAGGAAGAAGAAATACTTGAGGAGGGACTAAAAGAAGGGAGTGAAATGAGGGAGGATGAAGAAGATGAGGATGAAGAAAAAGATGAGCCACCAAAGCCTAACTACAAGCCCCCACCAGTTATACCAAAAGAAGAAAATCGGAGTGGCACCAATAAATTCACTTATTTTGTTTGCAGTGAACCAGGCAAACCCTGGATAAGATTACCACCGGTGACCCCTGCACAGATAGTGAATGCCAGAAAGATCAAGAAGTTCTTCACTGGAAGACTAGATGCAGCCATTGTGAGCTATCCACCCTTCCCAGGCACTGAAGCCAATTATCTGCGTGCACAGATTGCCCGCATTTCAGCAGCGACCCAGATCAGTCCTCTGGGATTTTATCAGTTTGGTGAAGAAGAAGGCGATGAAGAGGAAGAGGGAGGAGCTGGAAGAGACACATACGAGGAAAATCCTGACTTTGAACCCATTTCTGTTCTAGAGATGGTAGAGTCTCTTTCCAACTGGGTGCACCATATACAGAATATTCTAATTCAGGTATGCTTACTGAAGCCTGGTTCAGTCTCCCAATGGTATAATATATAAGGACTATTCCCACTGCTTTCAGACATTAAAAAGTGGCTACCTTAAAGTCTGAATCTGAACTAGAAAGCGAGGTCAGAATCCTTAACTGAAATGTCCAGACCAGTGTGCTTCAAGATTAGCCAGGTGAGAACCATTCTGCCTCTGGTTTTGGGGAAGATGCTGTAGAACAGTGAGAGTCAGAACAGGAGGAGGGTAACTTGATCGGTCCAATTGTCTGACACTCTGTCAAAAGAGCTGACCAATTAAGTAACATCTGGTATTCCTGCCATCTGGCCCAAAAGCTGGCAAGCTTCCCTGAGGGTAGACCTAACTCTGTTTGGTGGGAAAGGGTGGTGAAAAATTTGGTTTGGAATCAACTTCTAGGATGGGCAGAACTCAGTCCATATTTAGCAGGCTCATTAACCTGATGGAGAAAGCTTGCTAATGATTTTACATTATTCAGTTTATATCATTATTCACTTTATATATTCATAAAACCAGTCCTGGATAGCCATTTTTAACCTAGTAAAAAACTATGATTAGAAACTATTCCTCTTGATCTGCTAGGAAAGGGCAGACATTGAGGGGAAGAGAGACCAGCCTACAACACCATGAAGATTTCACCATGAGGGTGAAATCAGTGTAGTACACATTTCATTTTGGTTTTATTGTTTAATTTGTAGCCCATTTTCTTTCCACCAATAACCCTCAGTAACATTCATAGGAATCTCAGCTTGATTAAAAACCAGACAGACAGACAGACAAATATGCTAAAGCAGATAAAGAAAACAAAATGTAAAGAAAATGACCAGCTTACACACCAAAGGTCCACTTATGTGTAAACATATTTGCTTGCCAGCAGAAGGACAGCAAAAAGGGAGCCAATCTAGCCTTCTCTGACAGGCAATTCCATAACCAGGGTGCAGCCAAGAAGGTCCTCTTTTACATCATTATCAAGCATCTGAAAGTAGTGGTATCAAGAGCGGGACCTACACCAAAGTTCTGAAAACTCAGGCAACCTATTATGGAAGAAGAAGGTCTTTCAGGTTTTTTAGCCGGCGTAGCAGTATGGACGAGTTTTAGACATTTAGTTAGAAAAATGCAGTTTTAAACTTTTTAATGTAATTTTATGATGTTTTATTGTTGTTCATTTTATATTGTATTTTGTTGTATTTACTACTGTTGTTGACTGCTCAAAGAGCTTCAGCTATTAGGCAACGTAGAAATTTAATTAATTAATTCAGCACTTTGAATTGTGCCCTGAAACAGATTAGTAGCCAGCAAAACTGTCATAAGAAGGAAATCTCCTGAACTCTTCATCATGCAATGGAATATAAATGGCCACGCCCCAAAATTTGGCCAGATATAGCCATGATTTGAGATAAATCCATTCTTTCCTCTTTCTCAAGTATGGCCCCATATTAGCAAAGGAATGTTGCCCCACTGAGTTCTCAGCCAATTTTACTTTGCAAACCTTGGCCCTTGGACACAGGGACGCTGTACCTGGATTAATCCCTTTCAAAAATCAGAGGAGGAGGAGGAGGAAGATGAGGAAGAGGAGAAACCTGATGAACAAGAAGAATCACAGGAAGTAGGACCCCCTCTTCTCACACCACTCTCTGAAGATGCAGGTACTAGAGTAAACATGTTTGATTCTGTTTTTGTAATGGGTGTCATGAACATGAAATTTGGGTCAGTCAGGAAAACAGGTGGTCACTTGGGATTGTAGATAATTAAGGCTGAAATTCTATACAAAGTTACCTGGAAATAAGTGCTATGAAGTCAGTGGGAGTTTCTTCTAAATAGGCATGCATGGATCTGCACATTAAATATGCAGCTCAGCTAAAACAAATCAGCGCATACTGATTTGGAGCACAGTTAGAGTCTTTGTGGAGCAAATGGGATTTTTTTTTTCATTCATCAGAAATACAGTTTCCCAGTCATCCATGTATTTTTTTATGATTAACCCTTCATATTGTGTAGAACAGGCAGAGAATTTTCAGACTATTGTTTTTCTATTCTTGGTAACCTACCTTTTTGGCTCTTGTTGTTGATGTGACCTCGTTTAAAAGTAAAGAGAATGCTGTAGCCTGAAGAACAGCCTTGAACTCATGGGTGTCACCACCAGTGTATGGCTACAAATGGCCTTCAGGAATACAGTCCCCAGGAGGAAGGTTCCCAACTCTTGATTTAAAGCATAATTTCCCTTTAAGTCTAAATAGGGAAACTGTGGCTAAACTCAGCCTGAGTTAGTAAACTGAATTCAAACCATAGATTCCCAGTTCCAAACTGCAGATCATGATAAAAGCAGCTAAGCCACTGGGTCTCCCGGGAAAGGAAAGTGCATGAGCATAAAATCCATTCTCTACTAAGTAAATCATGATTTATTAAGCCACAATCATGATTGCCTCATCATCATTTATTTAATTTCTGTACCACTCATAGCCAAATCTCTCTGGGCAGTATACAACAAAATATAAAAACAATAAAACAGAATAGATAAAAACAGTAAGAATTCAAAATTAATGTTCAAGGATGTTCAAGGATCGGCTGGACATGCACATGGTAGGCATGTCATGAGCAGAGCTGGCTAAAGCCAGGGGTCAGACTAGATGGCCTAGGAGACCCCTTCTGACTCGCTCTGTTTCTGTATTTCTAAAATAAAATACCATTAAAAGACAGTTAAAACACTCGGCCAAGAGGAAAAGGCACCTGGCTACATCTAAACTGACTTAATTTCTGGTTAACTTTTGATATGGCAAGCAGAGATACCTAATTAGCAGACCTGCTGGTAGGCAATCTATAGCTTGCTGATTGAAACTGAACTTTTCCCAGCCTTCAGTTCTGCTGCATCCTTTCATGGAGAGGAGATGTTTTGTATCTTAAGGGTTTCCTTTTGCGCATGGAATTTACTTTTCCTCAATCAAACATAGGAGAAAGGCACTTATGAGTGATTGTCCCCCAGAATCTTCTTCAAAAGTAATTTGCTCAATTCATCTTTCTCCTATCACAACCTAATCAGGCATTATTAGGACATGAGTGTCTGAAAGCAAAAGAAAGCAAGTTCTGAGGTTTCAGTAGTATAGGATATATATTTCTGTTACATTTGATAATAATATAAATCAACCTTCACCAACCTGGTGTCTTCCAGTTGTGTCGGAATACAACTCCTGTAATTCTTAGCTGGCTTGGCCATTGGCTATCTAGAGAACATCAGGCCAGAGAAATCTAATAGGTATTTTCCATTACCTGCTTTTTCCCATAATCAAGATTATAAAGATTTTCCAGTGCTTTATCTTCCCATGCTCTTGCTTCATTACCCTGAACATCATCACACAAGTGAAAATTAGAGTCATACTACATATTATGTTTTTCATCGATGTCCACTTCTATTTTGAAGAAAAAATAGCTTTAAAGCTTTCATCAGAAAAGTGCTTCCAACCCAAATCATTCTGTCAGTTTTCTTCTGAAACCCCCCTTTCCTCCTGGCTGTTCTTATATTCAATAGTAAACAATACTTTGTGGGCAAATTGCGCTGGAGAAATTTTTCATCAAGAAATTGGTACAGGTTCCTATTCTGGATCAGGAACACACTCTTAGCTGGGACTGGGTTCTTCAATATTAACATGGCCAGTTTAAACCTGATTTTCAAAACTAACCTATTAGGCTCTTGAAGAAAAAAATTACATAAACTGTCTTACATTAGTCAGCCAAATATTTTGGAAATAACTTATTTCTTAAACAGATATTCAGAACATCCCACCATGGTCAGCTGAGACATCAACAAATTTAATTCCTCAGTATGCCCTCGCAGTTCTTCAAGCAAATTTGTGGCCTGGAGCATACTCCTTTGCGACAGGAAGGTAGGTCACAGAGAAAGATTCCTTCCTTCCTTCCTTCCTTCCTTCCTTCCTTCCTTCCTTCCTTCCTTCCTTCCAAAATACTTGTTTTGATGTTTTTCAGAGTACAGGCAGTTCCCAAGTTACTAAGGTCCAAGTTACGAACAACCTGTACTTACAAACTGCTATAAAGCCTATTAATTTTTTAAAAATTACTGTGGAAAATCATCATCACCATAGAGAGGAAGCAGAAGGGGAGAAGAAGGTCTCTATAGCATAGCTTCATGCCTCACCTGTCCAGAGGGGGAAATCTCTCTGGCATTTCCTTACCGTAAAAAGAAGGCACTGGTGTGTTTGGGCAGAAAGCCTGGATTGGAGATATTTGCAGTTGTTCCATTTTCATGGGGTCCCTGTGCCTCTAATCCCCACAAACATGGAGGGCTGACTACGTGGTCCGATTTACATACAAATTTGCCTTAAAGACAAAGTTATGTTTTCTCAGGATCAGAACTTGTTTGTAACCCAGGTACTGCCTGTAATGGTTACAGTGATTTGGCATTCCTGTTGTAAGATCCGGGGCATGGGCAGCAGGCAGAGATGGGCAGAATGCTGGGACCAGTGCATTGGTGCTAGGCAGGATTTGGAGACGAGAACAGGGTGACAGTCCAAAGTGAAAGCCGGGGGAAACGCAGCCCAGTATCACACAAAAAGGTAGCACAGTCCACGAAAACGGTCCAGGAGTCAAGTACAGGGAGGACAGTCACACTGGGGAGGAGGCAAGTCCAGAGCAGAAAGACATAGTGCCAGGGGTGGCTGGAAACAGGGGCAGGTGCAGGAGAAGGCAGGAGCACACAGGAGCAAGGTAGGAGTGAGGAGCAAGGTGCGGTGATGCAGAGGGCTGGTGCACGAGAGTCTGAGAGAGAGATGAATACTGCCCAGAGAGCCCTACCAGAGCGATAGGTGCAGACAATCAGCACACGGCAGGCTGGGGGCAGGGAGTTAGCAGTTTGGAATATGAGGAGCCAAGCTGAGGCAATCCAACAGATTCCTCACACATGCCTAATTCCTACTTCCGTAGCCCACTTGGAGTAACACAGTTCTTTCCTAGGGCTTCCAAATGCACAAAACAAGAGACCTTTTAATGCATCATGTGTACCAAAGACAGCTAAAAATATCTACCTTTTTAATTAATACTTTAGCCCATCTGTTAGATGCAAAAGGTGTGCCATTCCTTTGATTAGGAAACATTTTGCACAGGCACTATCCTACAACTTAAAACTAGAATATTGTTCTTTATTCCTTCATCTGTCTGATCACCTCCCCGCTGATCATCAGAACATGTACGTGTTGCAATCTTTTATCAGTTTCCTGGGAGTAAACTGCATAGAACTCATAGAACATAGCTTTCAGTTTTCCTGGACATGAATTTTCTTAACCTTTGATGGGGAAGAGGAGAAGAAAACCTGGCAGTTCAGCTTTCAGAACTATTTTGGATAGAGAGTAGATCCCAGGCTTAAACCTTGGAAAAGAGCAAGACCACTGGATTTTTTCCCTTTTCAGTTAATGTCCTGATCTTTCACTTTTTCCCTTAGGAAATTTGATAATATTTATATTGGCTGGGGTCACAAATACAGTCCAGAGAATTTTAACCCTACATTGCCACCACCAGTGCAGAATGAGTATGCTAGTGGACCAGAAATCACAGAGGCATCTGATCCAACTGTAGAAGAGGAGCTTGCACTCAAAGCTGCACAGGAGGAGGCACTGGCAGCTGAAGAGATGGAAGAGGAAGAAGAGGATGAGGATGAAGATGAGGATGATTGAACTTCTAAGACGTAGCAGTAGCATTTTTCTAAGACTAGATACATTTTCCCAAATACATTAGAGTAAGCAGTGTGTGTGTGTGTATGTGTAAATAAATTTCATGTATGTGTTTTTGTTCTGGAGTGATGTGTTGCCTCTTAAAAAAATATTTGACACTGCATCTGATGGACAGTACCTAATAAAATATGGACAAGGTTGCCATTACCCTTCTTACAATGTGTAACAATGTAATTCTTGCTATAGTACATGGGCCCATGAAGGCTTCCTTCCCTACCATGGCTGGTCTAATCAAAATCAGAGTTCCCTAAATTTATATTAAAATTGTTTTTAAACTTAGCTCTGATCATACAACTGATCATGCTTGATTCGGCAAAAGCATATTACCAAAATATTAGAAAAAAAGTTATACATTCCACCTTCAGTCATATCTATCATATCATATGGTTGCCATATTTAGTTTCCAGTTTTCCTGGACATGAAGTCTGCACTGCAGTTCTAGGCCTGTCTGAATTCAGTGGCACTTACCCTCAGGCAAGTGTATGTAGCATTACAAGCAGACATGGTCCTTATTTGTTCCTACATCCCACACAAGGAGAGGTCCTGCAGAGGATAAGAAGTCAAGAGTCAGGGGAAATGGACTCATCCGTGGTAAAAGGGAGTAGTGTCCTGTTTGATCCGAGCGCATGGAGAGCAGAGGCAGAAAATTTCCTGTGCTGGCCAATCTCTTACCATTTCCAGTATTAATCCACCTTACCTCAGCTTCCTGTCCTCCATGCATGTGGGTTCTGTATTCTGCTCCTCAATGTGCAAAAGGAGATCTTGATCACATGCTTCCAATTTTGAGTTACCACCATCTATAAATTATAAATATGTGTCAAATTACAAAATAATATAACAAGAAAATTATGAACTGCGACTTGCTGATTTTAATGATATAATTGATGTTTGCATCCAAAAAAGCTCAAAAGAAACTGTTCTGACTTTGTACATAGTGTAATGTTACAGCTATAATTCCCCTATGAATGTTCTGTATGACCATTTTCATTCTGTACTTTTTTGCTAGCTGGCTAGTTGCGAAGTCGCGTCCAACTCATCGCGACCCCATGGACAACATTCCTCCAGGCCTTCCTGTCCTCCACCATCCCCCAGAGACCACTTAAGCTCACACCGACTTTTTCAGTGACTCCATCTATCCACCTCATCCTCTGCCATCCCCTTCTTCTTTTGCCGTCAATTGTTCCCAGCATTAGCATCTTCTCCAGTGAGTCTTCCTTCTCATTAGGTGGCCAAAGTATTTGAGTTTCATCTTCACTATCTGGCCTTCCAAGGAGCAGTCAGTGTTGATCTCCTCTAGGACTGACCAGTTTGATCGCCTTGCGGTCCAAGGGACTCGCAGGAGTCTCCGCCAGCACCACAATTCAAAGGCCTCAATTCTTAGGCACTCAGCCTTCCTTATGGTCCAACTTTCACAGCCATACATCACAAATGGGAAACCATAGCCTTGACTAAGTGAAATTTTGTTGGCAGGGTGATGTCTCTGCTTTTTAGTATGCTGTCTAGATTTGCCATAGCTTTCCTCCCCAGGAGCAAGCGTCTTTTAATTTCTTGGTGCAGTCCCCATCTGCAGTGATCTTGGAGCCCAGGAAAATAAAATCTGTCACTACATCCATTACTTCCCCACCTATTTGCCAGGAAGTGAGAGGACCGGATGCCATGATCTTAGTTTTCTTGATGTTGAATTGCAAGCCATCTTTTGCGCTCTCCTCCTTCACCCGCTTCAAGAGGCTCTTTAGTTCCTCTCCAGTTTCTGCCATGGGAGTGGTATCATCTGCATATCTGAGGTTGTTGATATTTCTCCCAGCAATCTTAATTCCAACTTGTGATTCATCTAGCCCCACGTTTCTCATGATGTGCTCTGCATATAAGTTACCTATTAAAGGTTATAAATTTATAAACAATTTCAACCATTGCTACAATTTTAGCCATGTTCTACTTTCATTGAGTAGATAAAAAGAGAATGAGGTTTTGGTTCTCCCAAGGTCTCCTAGACCAGAGCCTCCAGTTGCTTTAATCCGGAACTGCTTTTATCCACTAAAAGAGTTCTTTCTCAAACTATAGAAGGCTCATTCTACACTTTTAAAAAGTCTATAGTTTCAAGTGATCTCGATGCAACCAAGATCCTCTTGCCCTGCAGCATTAAAAAGTAAACGTTTAAGCATCGAGCCCACTGCCATAGCGGGTGCGGACCCAGTTTAGCCAATCACCGCGTCCCTGCTTGTCCAGCCCCGCCCTCTAGGAATTGACAACCGAGGAAACTTCCCCCTTTTCAAATCCTGTCAACCACCGCGGCCCTTGAAAAAAGCCAATAAGCAGAAAGCATGTGTAGTCGGGAGAGGGCAGGGGAGAGGTGGGTGAGACGTAACTTTTTTCTGTTACTCGCCTCGCACGCGTTTGCCAAAGATGATGCAATTAGAGCCGATACGCTTCTTTAAAAATAAGCAACGTTGTAAGCTCTTTTATGTCCCTATTTTAAGGCTTAGCTTGATGCCCCTACGACTGCATCACCCCCCGCAAGAAAAGATAGTATGGCCTTTAGGTGGGCGGGGAGGCGTGATGACGTCACCAGTCGACCAATGGGAAGAGACCTCGATGGAAATTTAAACTCTGCAACTGAAGCAAGGTGGAAAAAAAAAAGAAAAAAAGAAAAAACTGGGGAGGGTTTAGAATGAGGGTCGACATGGTGGAAGAAGGAGGTGTCACCGTCTGTGTGAGGGTGCGCCCGCTAATTAAAAGGTAACCTGCAGGTCGCGGGAAAGAGGTGCTAGCTGTGTGCTTTTTTTTAATTCTTTCCTCCTCTTTCCTACGGAGGAGATCCAAATCTGGTGAATGATCACTCAGAAGTCAGCCGCTTTGTGCCCCGCGATACTCACTCCCTGGTAATGAGCCCTTAATTCCTGGGAAGCCCCAGAAATGTTGTCCAGCGGTACTGAATGAAATGGAGGTCTAGAGTCACCGAGGGCCCGTATTGCATCTGAGCCTCCTGCAAGAGCCGGGTCTTGGACCGTTTTTGCTGCCCCACCCCGCTTGGATCTTTCTGCCTCTCTCCTGCCTGTGCACCTCTTTTTACCGTGCTACCATGGGGTGTCCTCATGAGACAGTCCTTTAACGACACACACAGATTTTAAAGCCTGTAAATTGCTCTTGCTGCTTTTTTTCCCTTTCTGTGGACCTGAGCTTTAGATCTAACTGCATTTTTACAGAGAGGCAAAATCCTATTGTGTCCGTTTGTATCGTATTTTTAATCCTATTGCTTTTATTTGTATCTTCCCATTGTGCATTTCTAGTTAAAGTAAGCTATTGATGGAGATGGCGTAGTTAGATTTTACAGTACACGGGAATGAGAAAAGGGCGACTCATATTATTAAGGGACTGGAGCTGTTCACCTGTAAGGAATGGTTGCTAAGTCTAGAACTATTTAACTTTAAAAGAAAGCAAGTTAGGGGAAACATGATGGAGATGCATAGAATTAAGCATGGTGTGCTGGAAGTGGAGATGGAGACATTTTTCTTTTCTCAGAATGCTAGAATCTGGGGTCACTCCATGAAACTGAATGGTGGGAGAGTCAAGACAGAGGAAGGGAAGGACTTCTTCATTCAACACATAATTAATCTATGGAATTCACTTCCAGAAGATATAATTATGGCCATCAGTTTGAAGGGCTTTAAAAGGGATGTGGGGTAAATTGGCAGTAGATTTCTCTATGCTATTTATTCACTGGGAAACATAAGATGTAGGGTAGTGTTGTTGTCATGAGTCACCTGTGGGCTTCCAGTGGATATCTGATGGACCACTGGGAGAATCCAGGGTTAGAGGAATAATGGGACAAGATCAGCATTATGCAGATCAGGTCAACATGTGCATAATCGGGTTGCCTCAAAAGGCAGTGGCAGCATCACAGAAGCAATCTCTGGTGGCAAAATTGTCCATTTCACACAATACATTTCTCTGTTGCTGAACTGGTTGAATGATCAGGACACCATGTTTTGTTCCTTAAGAGAAAATGAAGAGCTTGAAGAGAAGGTGCAGGTTTCATGGAAAAGTGAAGACTGTACTGTATCGCAAATAGATGGAACCAAGTCCTTCACCTTTGGTAAGTTCTTGATGCATACTGAGATGCTACATATACTGAGAGGATTCCACATGGGTATTCAGGGATAAGGGAAGGAAGGATTGAAAAGTTTTTAACCAGTGATAGAGCTTGTACTTCACATGCAGAAAATCCAGTGTTTGTGTTCTCTCGTGTTCTCTCTCTCTCCAAACTTGTTATAAGCTGGCTTTTAAAGATGTGAACTCTGTTATGGCATTCTTTTCTGCTGCTTTTCATTTTGGTTGTATTTACTGTGATTTTTTTCTGTGGTTTAGGGTGCAGTCCTGTGGAGATGAGTGCAAACCTCTAAACTTGGAGACTCATGCTCATCCAGTACAGAGCAGGAGGAGAAGCAGAGCTTGTCTTCACCTCCCTGCTCCTTCTGCCCTGTATTGTTGGCAGATTCCCATGTTTGGCCACGTTGCAATGGCATTTGACATCACAGAGGCTGGAGCAGTTTTAGGATACCTCATATACTCATGGCTCCAGTGTCCTTCTCTCATCAATTGCCCCCTTTAACTGCTTTCTGTGGTTGGTCTCCTGTCCCTGCGGAGCAGCTGGCGCTGTTCTTTCTGCGCTGCTTGTGCAGAGAAGTGGGTCAAGAATTCCAATTCCCAGGTCAGCATGCTGCCTCTGACCTTGGAGCTGGGACTCAAAATGATCCTGTGGCCCCTTAGGCCACATGTAGGCACAATAAGATCATTTTCTTACTTGAATTGGATTACTTTTAGTAGAAAAAGAAAATCAATTATAACTTAAACTAAAGATAAGCTTGCTTTACTTTACTTCAGAGATAGATAGAAAGTGAGCACATGACTAGGCTACTTCTCAGTTGCCAAAGAGCATATGATAGGCCAGTTTGGTGTCCAAACACTATGAAGTGAGTTCTTGCTTTTCTGCTGCTAGGGAGTGACCAACAGTCACCTTTGCACATCCTTTCAAACTGAACTTTATAACAGAAGGGATGAGTTTATAAAGTTTGTCTGCAAAAGTGTTTCTGTACCTTTTTCTTGCTCCCTCTGGTGATGTCATGCATACAAATTGGACCCCTCATCTTGCAACTACTGGGGTACAGCTCATACCAAAGGTAGTTTGGGTGATATAGCCTGATTTGTAGAACAGAAGAAGCCATGGCTCAGTGGCTGTCCATGTGCTCTGCATTTTGAGAGGTGCAGTGTGTTCCTTGCGGTATTCAGATGAACAGCTTCCAGGGGCCATTCTGGTCAAGACCTTGGACTCGGATTCCTTTGGAGAATAGCTGCTTATCAAAGATGACTGGACTAGAGGGACAATAACCTGCCTCCATAAATGGCAGCTTCACACGTGCAAGCTGCAATTCACTCTGAGTGGATGTGGTTAAAAGTGTGACTAACATCTCCACTTCTTGCTTTTTTAGCAAGCTTTCCCCCCACCTGGTAGCTAACTTTGGGATACTAGGAATTGTCATCCAGAAGCCTATCTCAAGGATACCAGGTTGGGGAAGTCTGGCTTATTCCATCTTTGATGTAAGCTCCAGTTAGCTGCAAGATATTCAGTGGTCAGGAATTCATATTGGTTGTGAGATTAAGTCTTTTTGTGTGAAAATGTGAACTAACCTCTTTTTAATAGTATAAAATCAAAGGGACTGATTTTGCTGGGCTCATCCCTCTTAGTTTCAAATGGATAATGACAAATCTTGAAAGAAAAACTCAGTTTCTGTGAGCTAAACTTTTCCCCATTCTCTTGAAGATCAAGTGTTTCATTCCAAGGATAGCACTGCAGAGGTCTACAAGGGTGTGGCTGCTCCAATTATAAAGTCTGCTGTTCAGGGATACAATGGTACAGTAAATATCAGTTTCATTCATTTAAACATCTATAAGCCACTTCCCATCTAAAAAAATGACCCTGAAGTGGTTAACATATCCCATCCTGATTTTGAATGTACCTAAACATTAAGATCAGGATCTGATGCCTTCTTCTGAATGCTGCTGTAAGGGAGGGTTGCAACATGGGAGAGGGTGGTCTTAGCATTAGCCCCTAGATTATGGAATAAACTCTCCACTGAGACCCATCTGGTGGCAATACTGACATATTTTCAGTGCCAAGTTAAGATGGCCCTCTATTCCAGGCATTTAATGAAATATCAGATGACATGTCAGTTGGTTTAGCAAGTTTCATTTTTTACCAAAACTGTTTAAGCTGTTTAAATGGTTTTGATTTTGAATATTGAAATCTGATGCTGTATTTTTATGGTATCTGTATTTTGTGCTCTCTTACTATATCTGTGTTTTGTAGCTTGTGAGAACGTGTGAATGCTCAGCATTTCAGCTACTGAGGGGTATAGAGATGAAGGACATTGTGTTGGCTATGACTGTAACAAATTGATTGAAGTGAAATTAATCATAATGTTAGTAACAATAGTGTAACAAGTTAATGGTGGGGGAAAGACAGGATAAACAATGTTTCATTAATGATTGCAAGTGCATGAGCACTGGTGCCTGATATATTGCAGGTGGAAGGTTGGTCCAAGGAGAAGGTGCAGTCCTCCCAGAGAGCCTATTGTTGGGGTGCTACTAGCTGGGAGGGATTTGGTAGGATGTGGAATGGACAAGAAGGCCTACCCTAACTATCATAATGAGCTAATATCAGTTAGTATGTATGAATTGTTCAGAATGAACCACTGTGCTTTCTTCCTCCTCAGGTACGATTTTCGCTTACGGGCAGACCGCATCCGGCAAAACGTACACTATGTTAGGTACACAAGATTGTCCTGGTATATTACCAATGGCAATCAATGATGTATTCAATACCATCTGCAAAGTAAGTCAGTCTAATGAATGCTCTCTTTCAGATAGCTTTGCAATACTAGTTTGCTAAGTAAGACTAGCTTTGCATCTGCTGTAGAACTTCCTGGTTTCACTTAAGAGGTTCTAGCTACCTTTTCTCCTAGAATGTAAGATTAGGAAGTCCTGGCTTTTGTTTTGCTTCTCTCACTTTTGTGGGCCAGTAGAGACTGGCACCATCTTGTATGGTGCCTGGAATGTATACCAATGGAACCAATGTATCCCAACCTTGGGTCCCCAGAGGTTGCTTTAAATCTCTCACCATTACTATCAGGCATGTTGGACTGGGATGATAGGAACTGTCGTACCACCAACTGGCGCATCGCTATTGGAGAAAGGCTGATGTTAACCATAAGGCAGGGTATGTAATGATGCCATCTTAAAATCATTTATCTCTCTTCAGTAATACTAATGCATTCACGCTGTTTGATTTTTAGATTCCAGACAGGGAATTTCTGCTCCGGATATCATATATGGAGATTCACAATGAGAGTATACAAGACCTACTGTGCAGTAACATTAGGAAAAAGAAGCCACTGGTTGTTCGCGAAGACATCAATGTAAGTAATATGAGTCTAGTAAAGCTCCTTAGTAGTGCGAAACAGCAGTCCTGGAAATTGAAGGGTAAAAATGCTGAATTTTTGACATAGTCATGCTTTTGTATTGGTAAAATCTCCTTGTTTTAAAACGGACATGGTGGTTCTTTGGGCTGGAATCCACTGAAGGCCTTCTGTTGACAGAACTCGTTCTGCCAGCAGAACAGGAGGAGGCAATTCCACACACCTGTCCTCAGTTGGGGCTAAATTATTGGAGAACCCTGGAACAGATTTTGGAAGGGCAGAAGACTGGGGATAGAAGTCCCTTCACATGAGCATATCCTTAAATTAAGGTTCCTTAGGAAGCAGTCCTGTGGCCCCTAGATACTGTCTGATGGCTTATAGGATACTGGGGATTTCCGCCTCCAAGGTCAGAGGCAGCATTCCAACCTCAGAAGGGGGAGTTGGAAATTCAACCCCCTTCTGTGCCTTTTTGGGAAGAAAATAGGCGGCATGAAAAAAGCTGTTGGCTGTTCCCTGAAGTGACCTCAGAAAGGGTGGAGAAGTTATTTTTGATGAGAAAGGAGAGTGAAGAGGCCAAGGTGCAAGATACATCTTGAGGCTTCTGCCTTCTTTCCCTCTGACGTGCAGTTTTGAGTTCTGAAAAGCAATGCTTGGAGGATGATGCTATGAAGATTGGATGGTCAGAAACCTTTAACCTCGGGGGTTTTGTTCATTGAGGGCACATTGATAACCTTAGTCCAACCCTCTTAGACAATTTAGTTTAACTTTTAATTACTTACTGGTAAGACATCATGCTCAGAATCAAACTTCAATATGAAATAAGTCTCTTACATTTTTTGTAGAGGACAATTTACGTTGAAGACTTAAGTGAAGAAGTGGTGACTTCTCCTGAGCAGGTTTTGAGCTGGCTACAGAAAGGCGAAAGTAAGGCCCATATTCCTGGTGTGGCATAACACATGCACAGCTTCTTAAGGATGTTAAGGTTCTAGGAGAACATCTGGTGGGAAATAAGAAGAATCAATTCAACTGTGCATTTTTTTTCTATACAGAAAATAGGCACTATGGTGAGACAAAAATGAATGAAAGAAGCAGCCGTTCTCATACAATTTTCAGAATGGTAAATAATCATGAATTTCATGGGGTTTGTTTACTGCATGGCTAAGCATCCTTTAACACTAATGTGCTAGAATCTGAATCTGTACATATACCAAATACGAAATGGTGGTTCACCGAGTTCTGTTGTGTTCTTGTACCAGGTGGCTGAACCCAGGCTGGGGGCATACAGATTAGGTCCAGTTAGTTTTTAGTAACTCTTTTAGGCCAAAGCAAAGAGTCTTACAGAGAAGAGATGAAAGGAGAACCCAACCTTCACCCTTGGTCTTTGAGGAGTAGCTTAGCACAAGGTTAGGCGCAAACCCTTGCATTAATCTCTTTCTTGGTTTTAATCTGTTTTGATAGATGTGATCTGCCTGGGAATTCTTCTTTGAATAGAAAGGCAGGAGGCAAATAAATTAAAATAAGCAAACAAATGGTCTTTTATGGCAAAATATAACTGGTTGCTGCTTACGCAGGTTAAGGGGCTTAGAGAAGGCAGAGCATGCCACAGGCTTCCTGAACACATGCTCATTTATGCTGTAGTAGACGGATCCTCCTTCCCCAAACTCTGGCATAATGGTTGGCCTTGCTGCCAGTCTGATCAGTGACAGTGGTGATCGAACTAGCTCATCCCTTTATTTGCTCTTTTGAAGATCATTGAAAGCAAAGAAAAGACAGATACTTCCAGCTCAAGCTATGAAGGAGCTGTAATGGTCTCTCACTTGGTGAGTTCTTTGAGAAATGGCACCTGGGTTGTAAGTAGGGGTTGGAAGGGCATTGGTTTAATATTATAAGTACCACAGAGCAGTACATGTTACAGATGAAAGAATTGCTCCTTTTAGAATCCATGCCAGTTTTGCAGGTTTTCAGTCATAAACTGGTTCTGTACAATTTCCTTATCTGTTACTTTAAAAAAAAAACCACACGCTTGCATTGCCATCTGCAATTCTCCCTAATGAGTGCCATTTCCCCCCCTCCACTGTCCCTAATACATGCCAATTTGGATGCAGTTTTTGGGTGGAGAAATGCTTTGCAAAATTCAGAGAAGTACACAGTCCAAAGGCTTGTCTATACTGATCCAAATAATTAGCCTAGGAAGTATAAATTAGGACAGTCTGCCAAAAATTGATGACCAAACTAAGTTCCTCCTGATCCTTCGTTTATGTGCATCCTGATTGAGCTTGTTCTCAGTCCTGCAGTTTAAACTCCTGGCCAAGGACTCCCTTACCCATAGTCTCTAGCAATCAAGAAGCACTCTGTTTCTCCATTTTTTGGATGCCTTTGTTCACATGAGGATGAACATTGCCTGCAAATCATTAGGAGGTTGGACAAGAGGTTGAATGATTGGGACCTAACAAAGTTTCTCTCAAATTTTCAGAACTTAGTAGATCTGGCGGGAAGTGAAAGAGCTAGCCAAACAGGTGCTGAAGGTATGTTGGTGCTGCTGCTGTCAGAAATCTCCCTGGAAGTCTGTTGTATCCCATTCTTTATTTCCTGGATCATAATTGGATGATTCTTCTCATACTGAGTTATTCCTCAAAAGTGCTCAGGATCATATGGATGGGATTGTCCCACTGTTTTCACAATGGGAGGAGGACTGAGCATGGTAAAGTTGATTTTGCTGTCCCAAGTTCCTTTGAGGGAGGTTCCTGATTTGAACTGGGGGGCAGTCAGGTGAGAATAGTCTCGCCGAATGTACCTTCTCTGGGTTGGGAGTATGCATGTACGGGGCCTAACTTTGTGGCCAATGAATAATAGGCCATTCTAGAGGGGCATGGGCAGAAGGTAGATTGGGATGTCCTGGTAGATCCCTGCCTGATTTGCAGCAAATTAGTCAAGAGTTTTCTGGCTCACAGAACAAGAAAATGCTTTGGGAGGATCCTAAACTAGGCTGTGGAAGGCAGTAATGCTGGGTGGTGGAATCAAGAATGGATTTTGTGTAAAAAGACTAAGCTCAGTTCTGCTGGTACAATTGACTGTTCTCAGAGCCCCCTTAATCCTTCATTCTAAGTGTAGGCATGTCTCTACTGACCATTCTGTGCACATGGTTTGGTTAGTAAATAGTAGATCCAAGGATTCTGATGTTTGCCTACCTTTAATCTAGATTATGTTCCTCCTGACTGAAAGTCACTTTTTTTTAGTGTAAATGTCCTGATCCATCATGCCACTGAAATATTGAAAACTAGCACTGGAACTTGGATGGCTTTCAAAGGGGCTGGAAAAATTCCTGGAGGATGTCTTAATGGCTATTAGTACAGAGAGAGAAAGAGAGAACATGGTCCAGCTGCAGTAGTATGGAATATCCCTGTAGCTCCTAGGACAGGAGCCAGTATGCTTATGTAGCATACAGGAAAGCACAAGTGGACGGGAATGGCGTACATGTTCTTCCCAAAAGTAGCTGGCTGGCCACAAGGAACAAAAGGCTGGACTGCACAGGCCTTTGGCTGGGATCCAGCATGATTGTTGGGTGGGTACTAGATTCAATCCCTGGCATTTTCAAATAGAACTAGGAAATCCTGCCTGAAAACCTGGAGAGCTGCTACCCGTGTCCGTCTCTGTACTACTGAGCATAGACACACCAGTGGGCTGGCTCTGACATAGAGTGGTTTCCTATGTGCCTTAAGTTAAAGCTGACCTTATGTTGCTGGACTCTAGCAAAGTGGAAAAAATGAGTTTGACAGGAGCTAAATGCTACATAAAATGGTTTTTTTTTTTTCATCCCTAGGGATTCGGCTTAAAGAAGGATGCAATATAAACCGCAGTCTTTTTATCTTGGGCCAGGTTATCAAGAAACTATGCGATGATCAGACTGGGTAAGGACATGACAGATTGGCTCTTGGACCAGTTCTGCTCATATTAGTAAATAAGGTTATATTTCTCCTTCTCCATCATTCTTCTTTACCAGAGGCTACATTAGCTACAGAGACAGCAAGCTAACACGAATTCTGCAGAATTCACTGGGTGGAAATGCGAAGACAGTTATCATCTGCACAGTTACTCCAGTGTCCCTAGAAGAAACTCTTAGTACTCTTCAGGTAAAACCAGAATGATCATCCTTTTTCCCCAGCAAAAGCTTCTTTGTGTGAATAGCATCAACCATACCAAGTGATAACATGAGTTTTTGGGGGACTGAATGTGATTACATAGAGGCAATACAGTTTATTCTGCTGCCTAGAAAATGGTAAGAATGTGGTCTACTTAAGGTTCTCGTACTGGCTTATCTTTTTCTTACCTGATCTTCTGTCATTTGGAGCAGTCTAGCCTGAGTAATTTTGTCAGGTGAGGGCTTACAAGCCATTGAGTGCATTCACACATCATGCTAACCCACCCTGGCAATAAGTAGGGTTTGGTAACTTGTGAACAGATCATGATAAGCCTGACAAATGATCAAGCTCACCATTGGTTTTGACCTCCCTCCCTCTCTGGGCTGTTCGAAGGGTATCCCAGGAAGACCACAGGAAAAATGGCTACAGTGCAGGGGGAATTCCTGCTGGCAATTTGCAAATGGTACCTTTTCTGAGGTTGTAGGCAAGTTAATTTCCCCTCTGGAACCATTTGACAGCTTCTAGTGATCCGTTTTTGCAAAAATGGGGTGTCAGCCCAAACACCCCACCTGTAACAAATCTTTGTTTTTGTGGGAAGCTCATGTCTTCAGGGTCCTGTTGCTTTTGCACTTGCTCCTGAGATTCTTACGTTTTGGGAACATTGAGAGCTAAGAAGGTAGAGTGCAACCTTGGACTTTCCCTTTGCAGCAGGTACTTCAGATTTTTTGGAATGAGGTCACATGTACCAAGGATGCCTTCAGATGCATATCTCAGGAATATGTGAAATAGGAGGCTTTCTGTTTACAATAATAGCTACTTTGACGGATATCAAGTTGGCTACTCGATTTTTAAAGTGGGATTTAGAAAGGGTTAAAATTCTTTTGGGACTGGAAACTATACAGGTGGATGGAATCTTTCTGCCTGTACAATTTTCAGCCAAGGGGGAGAGAATGAATTTTAAAGGAGAAAAATAGAAGTGAGGACTGAGCATGTTCAAAATGGGAGATGGATGGGGAAGAATACTTGAGCTCCTTCGAGCTTATAGTATACTGGAAGACAGCATGGCAGGCCTGACTGGCTGGCAGAAAATGTGAACTAGGTCAGTCTTCTTGCTTGCAAGTGAGGACTGCAACATTTGTTGTGAGTACCACTGACAGTTCCAGAAACACGTTCATCTTATTTCTTACCTTGTGGGGAGTAGAAGAAGAGATTTAATACAGGCTGATTTAATTCCAGCTTCTGCTAATGTAAAGACTTGCTATTATTGACTCCACTTTGGTCTAGTTTGCCAGTACAGCTAAGAAAATGAAAAATACTCCTAAAGTAAATGAAGTTCTTGATGATGAGGCCCTCCTGAAGAGGTACCGTACAGAAATAGAGGACTTGAAACGGCGCCTGGAAGAAGTAAGTCTCCTCTAGTTACAAGTCAATTTTGTTTACAAGAATTTTTCCAAGCATGTGAGGAATGAGATGCTCCTTCAAATTGTGTGAATTCAGGAATTCCTGTCCTAAACACTCTGAAACTAACACATTCTTTTTTGCTTGGCTGGCACCATTAGTGTACTACTAGATGGACTGAAGAATGTGGAAAACCTTCCAAATCTGTTGGTCTTTTACATTCTTCCCTCTTCTTGCCTAGACCAGAAAAGCTAGCCATGATTGATCCTTGTAGTGTGGTCCCCATTATAATTGAAACTGGCTGAATCTCCTTTATAAACCCCCCTATCTACACAGGTGTGTGTTCAAATCTGAATCTAAAGAATTGACCAAGAAGCCAGGCAAAGTTCTGAGGCATGGGGAGGGTGAACCCATGTCAAAAGATCCACAACACCAAATTCTTTATTTTTTTTTATTGTTTTGTCAGCAGTGGCTGGCTTAAAAAAAAGTTTTCCTCCCATTGCTTCCAATGAGAGAAGACCCAGCTACTCCCGCTATAGAGCTGATGTAGTTTTCCTCTTTGTAGGAAGAATGGGACAGCTACAAATCCAAAGTTTTCTCAGATTTGTAGCATACCTACTCTGCCCTCAGAAGGCCCCAAGGTTGGTACCTGGCATTGCCAGGAAGTTGGATAAGACCCCTGCAGCTTTAGATCTTAGACAATGCTTAATTCAACAAAAATTGATGTTCTAGAGCAGTCTTTCCCAATCTTGTGCCTTCCAGGCACATTTGGACTGCAATACCCAGAATTCCCAGTCAGTGGTCCTGCTATATGGGAATTCTCGGAGTTGTGGTTCAAATGCCTCTGAAGACCACCAAGTTGGGAAAGGCTGTTCTAGAGTGTCCTCCAAACCTTCAGAACAGATTTGGGGAGGAGGGATGCTCCAAGAAAGGGATGCCTCCTTCATCAGCAGTTGATTTCCGCAGCGAGAATGGCACCATTGAATGCAACCCCATGAAAGTGTGGACTTCGGCCACTGACACAGATGTGTTCATGTTTAGGTTTCATCACACTCTCATACAAAGGATCAGCTAGCACAGCTCCTGGAAGAAAAGAACTCCCTTCAAAAGCAGCAGCAGGAAAGGATAAGAGCGCTAACTGAGATGCTTGTGACAGCCTCTTCCTTCTCACGAGAACAAGAGCTAAACGTATGTTGCAAAATGTAAAATGTTTTAAAAACTCATTTTACCACATCTATTGTATCTGTGTTCTGAGTGAGCAACATTTTGTATTTTATTCTTTAAATTAGTTCTTTGAGGACTGCATAGGCTAGTTCAGTCATCCCCAAAATTCTTTGGGTTGCTGTCCCCTTTCCTCTTGAGCAACAACCCCAGTGCCCTCATACCTCTTTCTTTGTATTAGGCCAATTGCTCTACTGCAAATTTAAAACAACCAACCACTGCCCCCCTGGATATGTTCACCACCCTCAGAGGGACAATACTGCCTACTTTGAGAATCTCTGATCTAGTGAAATAACAATGAGAACTTGATGACAAACTGTAGAGTAGAATAGTTAAACCTAGCTTTGGTTAGAAATTATATTTTCTCCAGTGAAAACATTTCAGATCACCTGCAAATATCCCCCTGAGTTGAACTAGATATAAAATTATCTTGCTCCCTTCAGTTCTCTGACATGCGTTGACTTTGTTTGTCCATATTTTCATTTCAGGCTAGAAGGAAGAGGAGAGTTACCTGGGCTCCAGGGGCAAAAAGCCAGGATGGGTCAATGAGTTTCCTGGATGACTTTTCTGGTAGAGCCAAACATTTTAAAGCCTCTTTGTGGTCGTTAACAGAGATGGAAGAATGTGAGTTACATTTTAAAACAATATCCTGATGGAATGGGCAAGTTGTTGTATGGCGCGATTTTACAGACGAGACCAGAGACTGGTTGGAATTATCGAGAGGGATTTATTTTACCTGCCAGCAGGGACCATGCACTCGTGAGAGTGTGGTAGCAGGCAGAGGAGAGACATTTGATTTTTATACTCTTTTACACTTATGCTTGAATGACAGCGAACCATAGGGGAACAACAGAGAAACAATAGGGGAGAGCACATTTTGCACATTTATCATGCTAAAG